TGTAGGGAGACGACGAGTCCCTCTTCTCGAAATAGACGTCGTCGACTCGAGCGCAGTCTATAATGCGGCACGCGATTCAATAACGGCGTCGAGAGACGACGACGACGACGACGACGACGACGACGACGATCGGCCCGGCAGGCGAGAAGAGTCTCGGAAGAACCGAAGAAGAGCGCACGTTCGACTCTGCGTGAGTAATTGAACTCAGTTGACTCTATAATCGCGCGAGAGCCGGCTGTTTCGTGTACGACTGCAGCCCCCGGGGGAAGAACGGCGTGGCCGTACGTTCCTCAGGGCCGGGGGATTTCCCCGTTACACGTTTGCGAGAACACCCTCAATTGCAACTTGCACTATAAGAGGAAAAAGAAAAAGCACGGGAAGAACATTGAGAGACAAGTAAAAAGTTCGAAGCGGCTGAAGTAAACTTAATCTTACAAGTAAACCTCCTCCTACCCAAGTGTCTCCCCCCCCCTCTCCCCTTTTGCATGCGTATAGAGCATCGAAAAATATTAGACACGTATTTTTTTATATCGGTGTAATAGAGCGTTTTCGGGGTAGAAATCACCTCTAAAGTGTCAATTTTTTCGCTTTTTTGTCCTATATATAGATGCTCTCAATATCACGAAAAAATACTTGAGAAAATAATGTTTCCAGAGGAATACACCAGTTGTTTTTACCAAATCCGAATTCAGCAGAAAATTTGAGACTTTCAATATTTGGCAGATTCAATATGGCATGCAAAATTTCATCAAAATCGGAATTTCGGGGTACTTGGGTAGGTGGTAGGTAGGTCTTCCCTTCGACGTGATTTCCCCGTTCTTTCTCCAATTTCTCGTTTGCTGCGAAACAAACTCAAGACTTTGTTCGATTTATAAGCAATTATAAGAAGCTGAGTCAGCGTACGTGATTGGTTTTATTATCGTCGTCGGATTTAATTTTAATATTCTATCGGGCAATTATGCAGATTAAAGAAGGAATTGGAAAAGAGAGATTAGGAATATAATTAATCATATGACTAGTTTAGAAAGTTGAACATTTAAAGAGCGATAGTTCCGAAGGACACTTTGGCAGTAAATGCTCAGTAAATGACACTTCTTGTCTGCCGTTCCGCATTAGTTATTTCTCTAAGCTCTGCACAATGGCAAACTGGTGTTGGAGAAGTAATGGTGAAAATGACATTTTTCCTTGTGTTGCTCAAACATTTCCCCGACTATTTAACGAAAGGTTTCACAGTGCTGTCTGCTGTCTGCGTGGCCTAACTTTTTCTCCCCATAACTTTTATTCCTCATTTATTTATTTTTTTTTCTTTTTCCGGGCAAACCGGAACAGTTTCTCAAAGCCGAGTAAAATTATCGTCCATTTCAGAAACATGCCTAGGTGAAACCAAACTGATAGAGACTGACCTGTACGGTCAAGCGAGTGCGTTGTTACATATGCATTCGCAGGGTGAAGTGTGTAAGTAAGTCGTGCGTGCGTTGTTACATATGCATTCGCAGGATGAAGTGTGTAGTCGCGCCGCGTGTATTCAATGCAAAGCGCGCTGACAGTTCGTGCGCAAGCAGATGTCACGGAGGTTACCGCCACGATGTCTCTCGTGCACGCATCCGAATATTAGCGCTGTCAATGTAATCCGGATGTTTCAAAGTTATTACAGCTATCTGATAATGAAACGTGACAATATTTCTTTTTCGAATCGAATATGTCGTATATTCTCTCTTGACATAAATGTATATCCTGCTCTCGCGACCTGTTGTATTCAGGATACAGACAAGTATGTACAGACGGTTTCCAGCGAAAGATGTTACTTTCCTTCAGATGGAGGATTCTTAAAACCCAACTAGTACACAGTACGTGTCAGTATCAAGCACGTGTCAGAAATTCTACAGAGAGAAGAAAACGAAAGAAAGAGATGTAGAGAATCATCAGAAACCGTAATCAGCCGAGATCAACGTGAGATTTTATCCGAGGAAAACAATTCATCGAATAAAATACAAAGTCGGAGAAGAAGTTTAGAATTTTTTCTAATCGGAGGAAGGAAAGATTTAGTCGGAAATATATACCAAGTACACAACATTCGTGTGTTATCAATCGTGCCTATCAACATCTCCTGCTGAGGGCGAAAAAGCGAGATACGCGAGTTGGCCATAAATAGGAAAGAAATAAGCCTAATGTATATGAAGACATATTTTCGAGTGTTGTCATATCACGCCAGATATCAAATATCGATTATTTTAAATAAGAGATTACACACACACACACACATCATCTTTGACGATGGCGATCATTTCTCCTATATTCACATTCAGCCGCATTTAAAAAGATATTAAAGAGGGAAAAGGGAGAGGGGAGAGGGAGACCACACATACAAGCCTAAAATAAAGATCAAGACAATAAACGAGATAGGAAAAGAATGGTAAATTATCGAAAGTTCGAGACGGTGACAGCGATTCGTGGAATGCCGTGTCGATACGAGTCTCTGGCGGCGTAATTTTTTCAAATATCACTCGTTCAAAAATAATGAAAGGTGAATGACCGTAACGCTAACCGGTTTAAAAATGAAGTAGCGCGCGTCTCGCCTGCATCGGAAGTGGAAAAGAAGAATGCGCAGACGGTGCGTGTTGGTCATATCAGGTTCGCGTGAGAGGAGCTTAAAAATGCGCGACCGGTAGTCGCCGCCATGAAAACTTCCTGAAGGCCGCAACATACATTTTTTGTAAGATGTAAGAGTAAGGTTTCGCGACCAATTGTGTTGCTCGATTCGGCCGTTATCGTAATCGTGACTATTTAAAATGAGCAATGCACAATTGATCGCGAAACCTTACTGTCACGCCTTACGAAAAGTTTACGTGCCTTTACGGCCTTAAGGTACGGTCACATGGAGGCAAATGGTGGAGGAGTTAACCGATCACAGTAATTCCGTTCCATTCGTAGTTTCACAGCGAAACAACGGGACGGAACTGTTATTTATCCTTGTTATTTATCCTCGGTCAATCCCCACAATTTGCTTTTTCCCCATTTTTCTTCCGTTTCCGATATTTCAAATTCCACATAAGATCCTCCCCTTGAAGAGAGGGCTTTCCTTCTACCTAGCCGGATAAAGAGCGCGCGCGTGCGCGCATTTCATTGCGCCGAGAACTTTCATTGACTGAAATTAAGAAAGCAGACGTAGGAAATGGAATTCAATTCATTACGCTTACCTATATATTCTTGAGAGGAGACAAAGAAAGAAGAAAAAAGAAAAGAAAAAAGAAAAAAAAACAGCTTACTCCGACGTTTTACAGCCTTAATCTACTATTCTTGCTGCCATTGTAGACGATGCTTAATCATCAATCATCGACAACATTGAGTGATATGTGCTGCAAAATACAACACGCGATGAGTTAGAAAAAGTAACGCCAATGTCTCCCGATCTGTCCCTCTCCTAGCATCACCACTCACAGTCAGCCATGTCGTCCTTCCCTCTCCATGGCGCCATTTTGCCCGCGCTTTTAACCGCCAAGGTGCGCGACACGTGGTTAATTTCTCCTCTACTGTTACTACGATCCGCGCATGCGCGCGTCCGACATTTTGAAACATCGCCGTTATACATGCTTTTGACGTGCGTGCGCATGGCGCCTATGCGCTCTTACGATTAACCGACACGACGAATCGACATAATCGCTTCGAAGAGCATTTAATTTTCGGTTATTATAAATATACGAACATATACGAAATGTATTTGGAAATTCGTTCATCGCGATGACGATGAATCTATCGATGCTGCGAAGCACATGCTTTCCACAAAGTCGCAACGGAAAATTAGCGTTGGCGCTTGACTATGTCTTGTTACACACAAGTTGACGGAAATATAATTTTGCAATGTTCTCAATTTACACGAATAGTGCCGGGCGAATTGTAGCGCGAATTAATCCGACATTTCGTTCGACGCTCGACGATGAGGTTTAGAGCATCCGCATGCAGTCTCGCATAATACGATCGACAATATGTGTGTGTGTGATGCAACGATAACTCTCTTCTAAAAGAGTTAAAAAAGAAAATTAAATATTAGATAAAACGGCACGAATGGGCAGTATACAAATTCGTTCACATTTTTTGCCGGGCTTTGGTATATGAAAAAAGCACACATGACAAAGGGCATTCTTGATAGTGGCGGAGGGGAAGGGGGGCCGGCCCCCCCCCCCACATATTTGAGAAATTTTAACAAAATTCAAGTTTAGTGAGCAAATTGCAATTTCTTGAGAACGTAAAGCTACCGGAAAATTTTCAATCGCGCTTTGTCGAACCATTCACCGCTTCTTCTTTCCTTTTCGGACACTGACAACGTAACCGACGCGCGATTTATCACTTTTATTTCAACGCACTAATGTCACTTTTATTTCATTATTACACGTTGCTTCGCAAGCCATAGCTCAAGCATATAATCGAGCCGTCATCTATGCCGGAAATTAACGTCTCACCGTGATACAATTCGCATGAGTTGACCATTCATAAAAATATACGATGCTACCACGTGTCCTCCTTCCAGCCCGTTCGAACGACGGATCTGTCGTCATTGTCAAGAGCAAACGGTGCAAATATTATTTATTTTTATTTATTCAAAATATACGGGTGTAAACCCATTGATATATAGTACTTGATAATGATACAACAACCCACGAAATCACGACACAGTTAAGACGCAAACCAAGTTAAAATATAAAGTTTCCAGTTATGCCTTATTATTATGCACATAGTAACACACATAGCAAGTCAGTCACACTTATTTCACTGTAAACTTTTACGTGCTGATTTATAATCTATTATTATAATCTGTCGAGACCACGTATCTCCTGAAGAGATTCCGAACGCCACGCAAATTCGCCCAACTTCTCTCCACCTCTGCAAACCCTGTTCTTTGTTCCGTTAAGATGACAAAATCGAAAATGTCGCTCGTACGCCATAATTTATAGAATACATTTGACGACCGTGAGAAATCTCGATATTCCGTAATGCGCTCATACCTGCTTTGCGTTTAATAGACCTTCTTCGCTCCATGAGTGTGAATTGTGTGAACGTCTTCGGTCAAATAACGAGAGCAAATTTTACGACGATGCGTCGCGTTTTGAAGGCTGTCACTCAATGAAAACTGGGAAAAATGCTTCTTTCACTTTCTCAACGTTTCCCCTCTCTACCTTCTACCTAGGGTCAGGAAAATGTAGAAGTTTTATTCCCTTTATCTCTTATTGGGTGCGTCTTTCCGTCCCTCTGACTCTCTTTCTCTTTACCTTCTACCTCCCCACCACTGTTTCTGCCTTTAATTTTCTTTGCTTTTAACAGCATCTACGTCGTCGGTATTTTATACTCTAGCGTCAACAAATTCTACGTTATATTTCACTGTTGCGCGCATGCGCGTGCATAGCTCTGACCGAACACATTTTTCCTCTGGAAGACATACTTCTTGCCATTCCTGTTTCGGATCATTAAGGAGTAGAGAAGGTGGTCTAACGTTGGATAGGTTAGATAACGTGATTTTTTTTCACTCAATGCTTCTTCATGTTGAGGAAGAATGCGACAAAGAGACTCGCAAACTTTTTTCATCCACCCCCCCCCCGCCCCACACAGCTCCACTTGAGCTTCTTAAAATTTCTATTACTTTCTTCTTCTTAAATTCTTGCTTTCCGCCGCCTTATCCGGGCGGAATGTAACGCTTTTTCTCAGAGTTTACGATACTCGTGCTGCTTGCGGCACGTCATCAAGTTGCCAATGACAACGTCAATGATGTACGTGAAGGCGACGTAGCCGGCTGTCGTCGCGCGACGATGCTGTTTCACAGTCGACCGCGGTGGTGATGGTGCGCACGACGTCGACGTCGACGGCGACGTAGTAACTCGGGGCTCGCACTTCCCACGCGGCTGCATTTGGATATGACAAAAGACTGTGCGATTCTTGACACTGACGTTTTGTCATTTGTCTTCACTCTCTCTCTCTCTCTCTCTCCCTCGTCCTGTCCCTCTTTCACTATCCCTTTTGTCAGTGTTTCTCGCGTAAACACCGCATCTCGCCTCACCGATCTCAGCAATCGCTGAGTCGTATCTCGTTTACGTTGCGTTAACAATCCGATATCGAATAGTTTCGCCGGTGTCGTGTTCATGTATTCTCTCCGATCGCCCAGCCGAAAAAGAGAAAGTACGTGCGCGTGTGTGCGCTCTTTGCGTCACGAGGCCAACGCAGATGTCGATAACGGTCAGATCAGCGAAGATGCAAGAGTCTGTCTCGTATCGCGGCATCCGCCGCCGCGACCTTTAAACCTTCGTCGGCGACGAGGCAAAGCGCGAATCACCACGCGTCACGAACCGCGCGCGGTAACGCGACTAAAGGAGACACCGCGAGCAGCAGTTCGCTTGACAGGCCGCGCGCGCGCGCGCGCGGTCCAGGTTTCCCACCCGCCGCCGCCGTCGCCGCCGCCGCCACCGCCGCCGCCAAGTTCCCCCGCCCGATGAGGAACGCGCGAGAGCGAGAGGCGTTACGTACATACGCACATGTATATACATACATATGCACGCACACCGCCTTTGACATCGAGCCGTCGGCGTCGGCGTCGGCGTCGGCGTCGTCTCTGCATTCGCGCACGTAACGGTAGTAATACGGAGCGGCTGTCGCGAGTGTGGCGGGAAAATCGCGCGGCGGCAGCTGCCGCCGACAAGATGAAGATAACGAAGATGATGACTCCGTGTCGTTCTTTTTTTCTGTTTTCCGCTCTCTCTCTCTCTCTCTCTCTCTCTCTCTCTCTCTCTCTCTCTCTCTCTCTCTCTCTCTCTCTCTCTCTCTCTCTCTCTTTTCCTCTCTCTCTCTCTCTCTCTCTCTCTCTCTCTCTCTCTCTCAACGGCTTCGTAATGTCGGAATCTGTTGTCTTTCCGTCTTCTTCTTCTTCCCTCTCTGTCGTTATTCTCCAGTACCCGCGGGGTTGTTAGAAAGTTGTTATTTTTTTTTCTTTTCCTTTTAAAGCGACTCGTTACCGGTGTTGAAAAACGTAACGAGTCGTTACAGTTTTTTCGTTTAATTTTTTCTTTTTCGCCAAGTTTCAAGGACTTGTTTTTACGACCATTTACGCGTGTGAAGAATAACGCTCGTTACGCTCGTTATTGTTATCGAAAATGACTGTAATTGTACGATGACAGTGTTAAGTGTAAGCTACTTGCCGACTCCGATTATCCGCGTATGCTCTGTATTCTCACAGACGACGAGAATTACGTTTAGCGCCGTCATATCGTATTCACATACCAGTTTCGCGCTGCAGACGAGAGAAATCCCGATTCCGCTGATTGATGAGAGGAGTCGACTTGCGCGCTTAGTGTGTACACACACACACACACACACAGTCATCTTTAAAACTTCAATGTCCGTTCTAGCAATTTGTCAGTGACTCGAGGGGCCGTATAAACAATGCAAAACAATACACACCTGAGCAAAAGTACTGTGTTACAAAAGCGAGACCAAGAGAAAAATTTAACCTTTTCTAACCAAATTTTTCTCCTGTCATTGACCGACAAAAAGGCAAATAATTCATTATCGCAATTATTCTTTCAGCGTTGTCAAAACTCAAAAGGGAACTCGAGCAACTAGAGTTGTGTCGAAAAATGACACAACCTTAGTTTACTGTGGAGCACAAAGAGAGAAAGGAAGGAAAAAGGGAGAAAAGTACGAGGTCGTTTCTCGCCAGGAGAAGACGACGACGATGACGACGACGACGAGGCGCGTCGCCCAAGACGAGCCGTTCTACTTCGAGCGCGTTCAGTTTCGGCGTACCATTACGTACACGCCAGTGACATGTGTTACGACGACCGCGCGTACGCATCCGTCGACGACAATTGCACTACACCGGGCGAAAATAGAACTACGCTCGTCTCGCGTGCGAGAGCGCGCGCATCGCGCGGTTCTTCCGCGGTTATCAAACGGCGGTGTAATTTCTCGCGGCCGCCAGCAAACCGCTCGACCCCGTATCGTACTTCTACCTACCTACCCACCCACAAATATGCATTTTCCATGTTAACAGGAAAGTCAAGTGAACGATGATTGCGCAAGACATCGCGACGATTTCGAGACTGGTATGTTCCAAATGACGTACGCGCGCACGCAAGCCTCTCTCTCTCTCTCTCTTTCTCTCTCTCTATTCATTTTTCGCGGTCACTCGTTTATCTCTCTCTCTCTCTCTCTCTCTCTCTCTCTCTCTCTCTCTCTCTCTCTCTCTCTCTCCCCCCCTCTCTCTTTATCCCTCCCCTCTTCGCTTCTCGGATGCTTATTAATTCCTTCGCGGCAGATGGCGGCGACGTCGAGACACATCCGAAACGTAGGGGACATACTGTTGAAAAATCATAAATAGCTGGGATCAAGAGTCGAGCTTGATATTTCACCAACGAGTTATCGAGCACGAGAGAGAAGAGAGAGAAAGGGAGAATGACGGAGCCCTTGAACTCTCTGATATCGTACATGTTTGGGACAAAAAGATGTAAAAGGTCCTCCCGGCAAAAGTCGCATTGGAGACGGCGAGAGCGAGTGTGAATGTAATCTGGCAAGTAAACGCAACACGCGCGAACGGCGATGTCATTCGCGATGAAGTAAGTTTTCTGGTTGAATGCACGATACGTCTTATCTACTGGCACTACCAGCATTAACAGATAACTCGGCGTCTCACACAAGATTTTAGACTCTCGCGCACACCGCCGTCCTGACAACGTACGCGACAGCTACGTGATTCCTCCTCCTCCCTCGTGTCGTGTCGTGTCGTGTCGTGACATGTCATGTCGTATCGTATCGTGTCGTGTTGTGTCGTGTCGTTACTCAACTTGGGCTTTTACGAAATTCGTGCGCGATATCGCGCGCACACACAACAAATCGCAGTTTGCTCGGTCTTCCTCCCTCTCTCCTCTTGCTTTTGACGTAATAATTGCGCTTCGATTGCTCCCCCCCCTCTCTCTCTCTCTCTCTCTCTCTCTCTCGGCCTCGGTAGCAGAATACCCGTCTGCTCAACATTTACCGCGTCCGATTTCACGCTCGTCGATAATAACAATAATCAGAGAGTGATATAAAGATTTGACTGATCGTCGTCTTATCACACGGCATCGATCAGATCGATTCTCACTCCGCGCGCTCCGTCGAGTCTCGCTTCCAAACGGACAGCAGATAAGCAGATAAGAAGTGAAGATAGCGAACTGAAGGAGCTCGCGATAATTAGCAAGCGTACACTACTCGTGTATTACTACCGGCGAGCTATTGCAATTGACGATCGATACGTCGATTGTTTATGTTACCAATTTGTTGACAGGCCGATCAGATGTTAGATAATACAAGTAAAACGCCGTGAGCGTGACTCCTCCAAGTACAGCATGGAACGCACCGCGTTTTATCTTATCGCCGCGATGCCCGTATCAACGCCGTATATTCATTTTAATTTAGTACCGCCGACACACACACACACACACACACACACACACGAGCGACGTACGCTCGGTAAAGCGTCTTAACCGTCGAAATACGCGACAACCGTGAGTGGTACTTTATCTGTCGTTTACGGGCGGGAAAGCAATCCGCGGCGCGTAGGTAGGTAGGTAGGTAGAGAAAGCCATGAGAGGATATCGAGGATAGGAGTTAGCCCTCCGTAAATTCTGACAATTGACGTTATCTCAACGAGGACATTAGGGGGGGAGGACGTACAATTAGCGGTGAGCCTGCGTTACCAAAGCTTTCTTTCTGCTTCCACGCAAGAAGGTCGCTGTGCAACGCGCGCGACGCGAGTGGAGCGTCCATCAGAGGCTGAGGAAGTCCACAAGGAAGAAAAAGGACTCGCTGAACCTCGCTGAACGGGCGAACGGGGGCCTGTTCATTTTTCCGTCCGTTTTATTTTCGACATCGTGCGCACGAGCAGTGTCCTACATCCCTCCGTGATATCTTTCACACAAGTGTGAGATGCATGAGATATAAAAACTAGATAGACCAGTCGCGATAACTCGCTCGCGATCCGCGCGCGGGCCATTAGCGCGCGCCGTCTAAACATCCTGCGCAAATTTGCCGAGGTTCTTTAACGATTTGTGCAAATCGTGGACAGCGAGCGAAGAGCGGTTCGTGCTTCTCGTTAGCTCGTCGCCGCTAACGCGAACGAGACATTTCTTCTCGCGAGCCTCGCGTGTCTCCGCGGAGAGATCCGCGTGGTCCGGCCGCCCTAATTATACGACGATCCTAATAGCGAGTACCAACTCTCGTAGTCTCGCGCGTAGAGACACCTAGTCGTCCTAGGCGCGAATTTGGGGGTCACGGACACGGACGGTCACGACATCTTCGCTCGATTCGTCGAGGCCCACAAAGAGAAAAGAAAAAATTGAGGAAATTTCTCAAGTCCTGTCATACGCGACCTGCTGCGTGTTGTGATTTTGGCTTGGACATTCTTCCCGCAGACTGTATCCAAGGGGACGACGGCGAACGTCAGGACTCTCGGGGCCCTGATAGCATTACGCTGATAGATTACGCGGCTCCGGGGGCCCCGAACAAGGGGTCCCTTCGCAGGGACCACCCCGCGGGGAGGTTTTAGCTCCCCGCGAGGTTATGAGTAGGAGTCCTAC